AATTCCCTGCTCACATTGTAAGAATTCAGAAGCCTCAAGGAAACAGGAGAATCTAACTAGAGGAGTTTAAAGTCCTCACAATTTACCTGCCAAACACCACCACACACCCACACAAACACACACCCCACAAATGTAAATTATTGGTATTTAATGTTCACACACCAGCAGTGAAGGGCTGTGTGTGCTTTACCTGAACGGAGTTCAGGTTCTAAAAGCAAAATCTAGAACTTAAAAGTTAATCCAAAATTTGTTCAAAGTTTCCTCTGAAACTTTTTAAAAGGCTTATAAAACTGTGTCCAGACTTGGTTAATAGTAAACTGGTTTTGCAAAACATTTTAGCCAGAAATGCACCTAGCAGAGTGTTGGGGGTTGGAAATAGATGCTCACTTAAAAAAAAAATGCTGGGGAAAAAAAGGCTAAGAGTAAATACGTGAACTTTTAGATGAAAGTTTGCTGAAAGGTCATCTTTAAAGCATCTTTTAAAAATTAGCCCTGGAAAGCAGGCTAGCACGGAGATTTAGAGGACTGGACTCTGTAGGGTCCAACTAACTGGGTCTAGTTGTGGATCTTGGGCAAGCTGAGTTCTCTGTGACTGCAAGTCTCCTCATCTGTGAAGTGGGAGTTACAGCCCTCACGGGCTGACGAGAAATAGACGAGAGACATCGACAGACAGCATCTCAAACCGTGAAGGCTCAATAAACGCGAGCAATGAGGAGGTCGAATCCCTGCATTACACGCATCAGCTTCGTTCCATTGAAACCTCAGCCATTTCCTAAAAGCACCGAAGCCCCCCTCTGCACACATCATGCGGCAGGAACCTCCCAGGGCTGTGGAAACCGCACACCTCCATTCATGCGCCCGAGAGCCTGCCAGGGAGAGCAAGAAAGGGGGGGGGGGGAGCACGCCTTTTGGGGGCCGCGGCTGCTTCCCAACTTCGAAACGCTGTCACGCACACAATAGGTGGGAGCTGCCTGGAAATGACAGCTCGCGGCTCCCCGCGCCCGCCCGCAGGGGCGCCCGGGGGCCCCACGGGGCAGGGGTGCCCCCCGATTCTCCGCGAATCCCCGAGTTCCCGGCCTGGCCGGCGCGCGCGGGAGCCGCGCGGCCCACCGGAGAACTTGGGAGGAGGAAGGGCCCAGAGTTGGGGCGCAGGGGAGGGGGGCGGGGCAGGGACCCTCCCGGCCGCCGGGGCTCCCCGCGCCCCATCCGGTCAGGCGCGCCCACGAGGACCGGCCCGAGCCCGGGAGCCGGCGCCGGCCGCCGCGTCCCGGGGCCCCCCGGCCCCCTCCCCGGCCCCCGCGCGCCCCCGGCCAACTCCGGCCCCGCGCGCCTCGCCCCGCGCCCCTCACCTGAAGGCGGGTCCCTCCTTGGGCGCCCGGCCCGGGGCCGCCGCCGCCGAGGAGCCGCCGCCGCTGCCCTTTTTGTGGAAGAGCTTCTGGAGCAGGGTCGGGGCCATGGTGCGGCCGCCGCCGCGCGCTCGGCCGGGGCGTCGGGGCCGGGCTCAGCGCGCGGCCGGGGGCGGCGGCCGGGGCGGCGGGGCCATCGCGGCGGCGGCGGGCGGCGCGGGGCGCGCGGGCGGCCGCGGCGGGGGACGAGGCCGCGCTGACAGGTCCCTCCTGCGGGAGGAGCCGCAGCCCCGCGGCGCGCGGCGGCGGCGCGGGAGGAGCGCGGCCGCCCCGGCGGCGGCCATTGGCCCGGCGGCCGCCCGCCCCGGCCCCACGTAACCCGGCGGGAGGCGCGGCCGGCCCGGGGCCCGCTCGGGGCGCCGGGGGGGCGCGCGGGGTGGGGGCGCCGCGCGGCCGGGGCGAGGGCCCGGGGGGCGGCCCGCCGGGGCCGGGCCCGGGGCGGCGGCGCGGGCGGCGGGGAGGCAGAGCCGCGGGACCCATCTTTGTTCTCGGGAGACAAAGCCCCGAACTTGGGCGCCGCGGGGTGCAGGTGCGGGCGGGCCGCCGCCGTGGGTGGGGGGGTTGGGGGGCGGCCGTGGCGGCCCCGGCGGGCGGCGGCCCCGGGAAGCGCGCGGCGCCCGGGTGGGGGCACGTTTCTCCCGCGCGCGCCTGGGATTCCGTGTGATTGATTGATTGATTGGATTGGATCTGCTTGATCGAATCCCTGGCCCCGTGGGGCATCCCGGGCCACCATGCTGGCGTTACATAAAAAGTTACAAGTGAAATGTGAAAACACGCGGGATTCGCCGCCCGGATTTGGAAACTCACGCTAGTGCGGGGGGTGCGGGGGTGGGGGTGTGTTTTAAACAAAGGACGGCTTTCCTGACAGAAATTTTGAATAATCAGCAATCACAATACTCAGATCCCAGCGGCAGGTATCATTTAATTGGGGGGAAAGAGGACTTATCCCGTGTGCACTCCCTTCACTATCCAGTTCTGTTAGGGTTCAATATCGGGGCTGTCCTATAACAATTCCACCCACTTGCAGTGAGAAATCCAGCCTCTGATGCAGAAATTTCCAAACAGCCTGTGGCGGTGAAGGACCTTCCCAGACCCCAGGCAGCTTCTTACCTGTGCCCAGGACGCAGGTCTGGGTTTTCTGGTGATGGGTAATAAGGCTCAAGCCAGTAAGATTCCAGCCCCGTTTCTAGCAGCTTCTTTGTGAGCAGTGAGTGAGCTGTACTCACCTGGACTCTTAGATTGCTCAAAGGCCGCCTCTTGGGGCTTCACAAAAGACAAATACATGTATTTCTATTGATATCAGTACCAAAAAGAATCTCTATTGGGTCATTTTAATTTGTATTCTCATTGCGGGGTGGGGGTCTGAACTCCGGAGTACCTGCTATGCATGATAATGTGCTGAAATTCCACAAACATGAGAGGAAGGTGGAAATTAAGTTAAATTTTTTCCCCTTCAAATATTTACCATTAAAGTGATGGGTTAGCTGTTCATACCGATGAGCAATCATCCTTTTGCACAATTGCAACCAAACCCTGATTTGCAACTTTACAAACCCCTCTGTTTTCTGGAAGCCTCTACCTGACAGGACTGCCAGTGTTAGCAGCAGCCTCTCTAGTAGGTATTGGGCTCAACTGTTGTGATTTTATTAAAACATGAATTGCAGTGCTTCTACCATGGCCAGCAACAAACTACCCTCCCTTACCTCATCCCAGAACACACCCTTTATTCTCCAAACTAAAATCTACAGACCCGACATGCCGAGTAGTTTTTGTAACTACATATTGCAGAGGAATTTGGCCAATGTCCCTGTTCCTCACCTGGAAGGACTGTCTTGGTTCCAGCCCAATCCAATGTTCGGGATCACCCAAAAGCGACAGCCAAGAGCCTCTTTGGTGGTGCAAGGGGTTAAGTCTCAGCACCATCAAGCAAACAGCAGCCACTGCAGCATGAGTTCGATCCCCTACCAGGGAGCTGACCCACATGGCGTGGCAGACCTCTCTGTCTCACCTGTTGCTCCCCTCAGCAGTGTATTTCAGTGGATCTGCCTGTTCTGCTCCCCACTCTGGTTCTGGTGAATCCTCACACGCCCTGCACCTCTGGCCTGCACCCCAGTTCTTCTATGCAAAAATAAATCCTTAAAAAAAAAATCCCACAAAATTAACAGCTAAAAAAAATCGCCAAATCACCCTCAATTTTATTCCTGATGGGGAACACTAAAATGGAGAGTGTGTGTTTAAAACTATTAAGGGCACGACTTCAGTTGGGGGAGAAAAAAAGGAACTGAAATGGTTCCCCTCTCTCCCTTTTCTCCCTTTCTTCCTCTCAGCACCACATTCTTCCTCATTCTGGTTCTGGCCACATCTCTTGCTTTGGAATTTACAAGTGTACAAAAAAATCCTAACCAAAGTTCTAGGAGATCACTCTGGACAGCTACCTCATCCCAGTCACATCATCTTTCTTCTCAGCTGCCCAAGACTTCTTCAAAAACCCCATCTTTTGCTTGTCATCCATGGGTCATCACCTCACCCCCGAGGCTTGGAGTCGATCTGGGGTCCAGCCCTGGCCATGTGGCTCCTCTCCCAGGTCCATTCATCTCATTCACCTCATCCCACTCACTCTGTCTTAGAAAATGTGTCCGCTGGGCTGCAATGGTGCAACTGTCGAGAGGAAGAGGGAATAAAACAGTATCTTGGGTGCTTGGAAGAAAGAGAATGACACTAAAATAAGAGTGGGAATTGTTAGGATAGCCTTTTCCATTCTGAGTTCTGCTGACAGTTCTCACCAATTAACTAAGATGTGTTCTGCAAGCTGATTTAAGAGTTCTGCTTTGACACATGGACACTGGAACCTATTAAAATCCGTTATCCCTTCTTAACAGAACCCCAGCTGTGTTCAGAAGTTCATCGCTCCCTGGTAAATGACGTTGTCCCCCACCACTAGCCTAAGAAGTGCCCCCCTTCCTGCTTACAAGATATTAGTTCTGAAATGAGCATGTGAGGCAAACCTAGCCAAGCAGCTGAAGGAGGAGTGATTCTGGAATAAGTTTCCTCTCTCTTCATAGATAGCTGTAATGAGATGTGGCCTTTGTTTTCCCTTTAAATGCTGCCTGTGCACTTGTAAGGCTACAGCTGTCTTGCTATCAGCCTCAGCATGAAGGCAAGATGGAGAGGTCAGAGCAGACAGGTGAAAGCAAACCATGTCTGTGATAACATCATTGAGCCACAGTTCCTCCACTCCAAGTTGACTTTCAACATGTGGTAAGATAATGTTTCTGCTATCTGAAGCCAAATGCAGTTTAGATGAGGGGGTTCTGTTTTCTGTCCTCAGTTGCTTGTTATGTGAGACAAATTAAACCCTGCTTGTGTAAACCTGTGTTCACCAATCGATCTGTTATTCACATTTTAAAAGTCATTTTGCAAATCATTTACAAAAATAAAGGGACAGTGGAAAAATTATATTTTCATGCAAATTTAAACATAGCAAACTAAATTTTTTACTTTATATTTTCTTGCCTAGAAAGAAATATTACCCAAAATGTCCTTTGAATAGAACTATTTTTTTAAGATTTATTTTTATTTCTATAAGAACTGGGGTACAGGCCAGAGGTGTGGGAAGGTGAGAGGATTCACCAGAGACAGAGTAGGGAGCAGAACAGGCAGACGGACCAAAGACACTGCTGAGGGGGGCTGTGGGCGAGGCAGAAGAGGTCTGCTGTGCCATGTGGGTATCTCCCTGGCCTGCAGAGAATCGAACCCGTGCTGCAGAGGCTTTGGATAGCTTCACAGTGCTGCCCTCAACCCGCTGTGCCACCGTGGAAGTCCTGAATACAACAATTGATTGATCAGCATATAAGAACCAGAAACACAATCACCATGCAAACATGAACTCCAGATTTTAAATATATCTCTACTGGTTCTAGTTTATTCCCTTTGCTTTTTTTTTTGTTGTTGTTGTTTGTTTTTAAATCAACAAAAAGCAATACTTTTGAAAACTTTTATAGCTCATAATTTTGTTAAAGAGAGGTTAGCTATCTTCTTAGCTGCAAAGCATTTTCATTTTTAGATTTATAAACACCAATTCTAATTAGTTCAGCAAATTTTTTCATTTCTATCTCATGCATTTCCTCCTAACTTTGTATACATATTGCCTTTAGCATTTGTTGACTTGCAAATTTTATCAAGTATATTTGATGCAAAAAATCTTTAAAAAAATGACAGACTACAGGGCCTCCCCGGTGGCGCAGGGATTGAGCGCTGGGTTGCGAAGCTGCCCGCAGCCTCTGCTGCACCGGTTTGATCCCCGGCTGCTCCCCGGCCACCAGAGGAGGGTCCCACATGGCGTGCAGACCTCTCCTGCTGCCCGCTGCTCCCCTCAGCAGTGTACTTCGGTCCTTCTGCCTGCTCTGCTCTCCGCTCTGGCTCTGGTGAATTCTCTTACCCTCCTGTGCTTCTGACTGTACCCAGTGCTTGTATAAATAAATAAAAATAAATCTTAAAATAAAAAGTCTTAAAAAAAAATGACAGACTACAAACTTGTATTTCTTAGTATGGCTCAGGTTCTTGTCGTGAAATATTGGATAATGAAGTCATTCCTGTTACATGGCTAACTAGATAAGAATACCATGTTTCCTTTTTATCTTCAATATACATTGTTGAATCTTCAATTCTTGAGTTTGAGAGAAATTGTCTAGGATATTATCACTTAAGGGCTCACTGTCTGCTATCTCAGTGGCAAATTCCAGTGTTAACATTAAATCTACATTGCCTTTTTGCATTTATCTCCTGATTTTCCTAATTTTTTTGGAGATTTTATTTATTTTTGCGTAGAATAACTAGGGTGTAGGCCGGGGGTGCAGGGGTGAGAGGATTCAACAGAGACAGAGTGGGGAGCAGAACAGGAGAACTTACTGAAATGCACTGCTAAGGGGAGCAGCAGGAAAGACAGGAGAAGTCTGATGTGCCATATACGAGTGAGCTCCCTGGCTGGGGGTTGAACTCTGGCCTCTGCAGTATAGCCTATGGGCCTTCAGTGATAGCACTGAGAAAGGCCCCTAATAATTTTTAAGTATTTTCCCCAATTTTCTTGTGTCTGCCAGAATGGGAAGAAAATGAAATTTCTGAAATCTTAATTCTCATCAGTGATTAATAAAAGCTTTAATAAAAAAAAAAAACTACACAGAGAGTCTCAGGTTTTTTTTTAATACCTTCTTAAAAGATGACATAGTACTTTAGGCAATACAATAAGACAATAGAAGGATAATATAATAGTGATGATTTATTTTCCCACTCAATTGTTCTCTTTTCTTATTAGTCTTATCTTTTCTAGCACAGTTGGGAGTAATTTTTGATAAATGTTGAAATAATTCATAGAATGATAAAATAACAAAATTTTTAAAGTTAGAGGAAATTAAGGTAACTAAACTTTTATGAATGATGAGGATCCAGTGCCCATATGGTAATTGTAAAATAAAATGAGTTTTATTATATATTTTTAAGAAGTACATTTAGTCTTTGTGGATAAAACAAGACTATAAGAATAAATAAAGTCATGAAATATACATCCTGATATATAGTTAGAACCTCTCAGGAAAAGAAAAATTCAAAAAATCTAAAATAGGATTCCCTGGACTGATAGTGCAAGGGTTAATCCACTGTAAACTGATTCTCTGGTATTTGCAACAGAACTCTATCCACTTGGTAATCTCACCAGAGCGATCAATGACCTGCCCAGTGTTGAAATCAAGGACATTTTTCTGTGTTCTTTGCAACCAATATAATTGACCACTTCCTCCTTTTTGAAGGCCTCATTCTTTGGTACTACAGATTTCTTTAGTTTCAAACAACTACTTTACAAGCTACTCGCTCCTCTCTCCATACTTGAAAATTCAAACTTCCTTGGGGCCTCTCTTGCCCCTCCTCTCCTCGTTTGTGTTTCTCTAAATGAACTCATCATTCACAAGGATTTCCCTGCCATTTGAGTCGATGACACCTAGCCATTTACTCTGATCCTTACTTCTCTTCCAGATTTTTATAACTATCTACTTGATGTGCCCACTTGGATATCTCACCCGCTTTCCACACTGAACTCTTTTGCTATCTTCCCCATCTCCAACCTAGTCATTGATTAATGTTGAAATAACTCCCAATAAGATAATAACAAAGGTTTAAAGCTAGGGGAAATTAAGATCACCTAACTCTTATAAATCATGAGGGTCCAGACTATTACTGATCCCATTTCCAATCTATTTTATAAGCATCTGCCACAGGTATCCTTAAAATGTAAATTGTTTCATGTCACTTCCTTGCTTAAATTAAAAACAGAAAACACTTTTTAGCAGCTTTCTGTTGAGCTTAGTAAAATCGAACATCCTTAGTATGCCTATAAATCTCTATATGACCAGATTCTTCCTCTCCAAACTCATAGCACCCTCGTATTCGTTTGATATGCTCCAGCCACCCTGGTATGCTTTCATTTCTTCTACCAGATCTCCTCTGCCAGGAATGCCCCTTGCCATTCCACTACTGCTAGTCTGATTAAATCCTATCTTTAATGTCACAAATTCACTGTCACACTCAATTTCCATTCTTTATTTTTTTTTAAGATTTTATTTTTATTTATGCATAAAAGAGCTGGGGTACAGGCCAGAGGTGCAGGGGGTGAGAGCATTCACCAGAGATAAGAGTGGGAAACAGAACAGGCAGAGTGACTGAAATACACTGCTGAGGGGAGCAGTGGGCGAGTCAGGAGAGGTCTGCTGTGCCATGTGGGTAGCTCCCTGGCCGGGGATCGAACCTGTGCTGCAGAGGCTGCAGATAGCTTCACAGATTGCGTATTAACCCCTTGCGCCACCAGGGAGGCCCTCAATTTCCATTCTTAACTAAGGACCCTCCCTCCCTCCTGCTTTCTGTTCCAATACACTTTTCTATTCCTTTAACATATGTATACTTTATAATTAACCAACACATAGACATACAATACCTTTGTCTCCCACTAGATGTATATATTCCTTTAGGTCAGGCACTGTCTCTGACTTGTTGACTAATATGCCTAGCACATGGAATCTTCTCAGTTGTAAATTTGTTGAGCAGTGAATGAATGAAGTTCACAGTGCCTACTCCACATAAGAATTCTCACAAAAGAATTTTCTCCATAGTAATCATTAGGTGAGGAAGACTTGTAGAATTTTTGCCATTTACTTACTTTGGGGGAATGAGAGGTCATCGCTGGCCAGTTTTAAGTTCCCACCAGGAAAATGATCATTCATAGGACTCAGATTTTCCTTCCTAGCAGCCTGGCTTTAGCCTTGAAGACCCTTTGCCTGAATACCACCAAATCGTTTATGCACAGAATCCTGCCCGTGGTGTGAGTTTTGTCTTTCTAAATCCCCTAATAGTAGTACTCTCTGCTTTCTTTCTCATCAGCCCCTCACACCACATCTCCTTCCTGAAATAGAACATACTGTATTGGTTAGGATGCCTTTTGCTGCAAGATACACATGGAAGCTCCAGCCCAAAGTAGCTTAAACAATAAGGGGATTTTTTTTTAAAGATTTATTTATTTATTTATACAAGCACTGGGTAAAGTCAGAAGCGCAGGAGGGTGAGAGAAATCACCAGAGCCAGAGCGGGGAGCAGAGCAGGCAGACTGACGAAATACGCTGCTGAGAGGAGCAGCTGGTGGCAGGAGAGGTCTGCGCACCATGTGGGACCCTCGCCCGGTGGCCGGGGATCGAACCGGCGCTGCAGAGGCTGCGGGCAGCTTCGCAACTCAGTGCTCAACTGCTGCGCCACTGGGGAGGCCCAATAAGGGGACATTTTTCCCTTGCAAAACAAAGGACCCAAAGATAGGACAGGGTCCGAGCATGGTCATCAGAGTTCTGCTCTGGGTCTCTGGCTTTCTCCCAGATCTGCTGTGCCCCTGTGCATCGGCTGCTTCTTTAGGCCTGTGGTAAAACTTGTTATCACAGTTCCTAAAACTACATACAAATGCACAGCAACGTCCAACAGAAGTTGGGGTGGTCCCTTTCCATGTGTTGTATTTTCTCAGAAAATCTGCAGCTTTTAATCACTGGCAAGGGAAATAGTGTTACTATGTTTGACTTCCACTAATGAGGGTATTCCCGAACACATGGGGAAGGGGTGGACACTAAAACAAAATTGGAGATCTCCCAAAGAGAACAGGGAAGTAGGGAAAATGGCTCTTGGGTAAACCACCAAGTGAATCTCCATATACATTAATTTATACTTATTTAATTAATTTATACTTATTTAATGTAGACCGTTATAATTTCCCAGAGTGTTTTTCACTTACCCACTCTACCGGCCCGACAGATTATTTCTTAGGCTGAGATAGGACAGAGGAATACAGACTTCTGTATCTCCAGCTCCATGCAGGGGTTCTGTGAGATAACAGGCACCAAATACATGCTGCTGTTTTTGTTTTTTCTTCAACAAATTAACTGTAAAAAAATGTTTGTATGATGTGGTTCACCCTCAGTTTGAAAAATTGCCCACAAGACACTTCCTTCTTCTTCCAAACTTTTTAAAAAGTTTCTTTTTTGATAACCCAGTCCCAAATCCTGCCAAAGCATGCTCATCTTCAGTCTTTGTTCTATCTTGAATTCTGTACTACCTACAATTAAACCAACTCATATGGAGAAAAAATAATAATAACTATATGGCAGAGATGCTGAAAAATTGGGTAAAATTAACAACGGGTAGATGGGGAACCAAATAAATTTACAAAATGAGGCAATATTAACCTTTGAAAAAAGGAAAATTTGTAAAGAAGAGCGGTGGTTATAATGCATTCTCTGGCTTGTTGAGCAGTATTTATATAAGTCTCAATAACATAATGTTGTATTTATATAGTCTCAATAACATAATGTTGATGATTGCGTTAACGAAAATTTATACATAACTCTATTGGGGAGTGGGAGGAACATAGAGTTGGGTAGGAGAGCGATAGTCCACTATTCACTCATAACGACAGGAAGGCAACAGACAAGGATTAAAATTGGCAAATCAAGAAATATTGACCTGAGCACACGATTTTCACAGATATGGAGGAAAATATCAGTGACACCAGCTAGAAATGTTGACGGTGGTAATCTTATGGTGCGACTAGGTGTAGAGGAGATTGGGGCAGGATACTCTTGTTTTTTATTATGAAGCCTTTAGAACTATTTTTAACATGATGCACATGAATGATAGTGTGTGTGAATGTGTGTGTGAACGTGTGTATTTTCTTTTGATAAAAAATAAAGTTTATTTTTAAATAGTCTCACCTGTGGATATAAAAAGTCCCATTTCTGGGCCTGATCCTGTGAGATTCCAATCCAGTAAGACTGTGATTGGAGTCAGGAATCTGAACTTTTGACTGGAACATCAAAAAATGTGGATGCAGATGGTTCATGGATAATACTTTGAGAAACATCATTCAGAAGACCTGAAATTACATACAAAGTACTATAAGAATGTGCAGCTCTTTGGAAAGAGTACATAACTTTCAGATTATCTTTGATGCCCCGAAGCTCAGAATAGTTTTAAAAATCGCTGTTCTACCTTCCTTCCTTCCAGGACTAGTTGAGATTTCATTAAAAATTTAAGGCCAAAAGTAGAGCTAATTATTGTTGTAGTGAGTTAAATACACTTTATAAAATTCATTAATCATATAGAACAGAAAGCAGTGGCTGAATTTTCAGTCCAGTGCTTAGTACATTACTAAGGTGCACTCCCATGCAATATTACTACAGTGTTTGGATATCAATCTAGTGACTTAAAAAAGTTAATGTGACTCCACTGGCAACTACTGAGCTAGGAAGAGCCAGTGCCACTTACCAGTGATGTTGACTGAGCCTATTAAATTTCATTCCATTAAAAAAAAGCTCATACGTGTTAATTCAATACTATGTTTATTGATATAATAGTGCCACATAAATAGTGCCAGAGCACAACTAGAAATTTTAATGTAGGTATTTTGAAAAACTTATACTTTTATTCAGCAGTTTAATAATTTAATAGTGTAGGCTAGATTTCTCAAGCCTATTAAACCTTTTAAAAGTTGTTTCTGGGGCCTCCCCTGGTGGCGCAGCAGTTGACTGCTGGGCTGCTAAGCTGCCATCCAGTCTCTGCAGCGTCGGTTCGATCCCCGGCCATCGGCAAGGGTCCCACATGGCGCGCAGACCTCTCCTGCCGCCCGCTGCTCCCCTCAGCAGTGTACTTCATCAGTCTGCCTGCTCTGCTCCCTGCTTTGGTGAATTCTCTCACCCTCCCATGCTTCTGACTGTACCCTGTGCTTGTATAAATAAATAAATAAATCTTAAAAAAAAAAAGTTGTTTCTGTCTTCAAAAAAATTACAGGAGTTCATGAGATATTACAGGAGTTCAAAAAAACATTACAGGAGTTCATATCTGATATTCTTAGTACACCATTTAACAAAAAATAGAACTTGGGGGTCTCTCTGGTGGCCTAGGTGTTAAAATCTCAGCAATATGGCCTGAGTTTGATCCCTGGCCAGGGAGCTAACCCGCATATGGCACAGCGGACCTCTGCTGTCTTGCCCGCTACTCCCCGCGGCAGTGTATTTCAGTAAACCATTTGTTCTGCTCCCCACTCTGTCTCTGGTGAATCCTCTCACCCCCCGCAACCTGCACCTCTGTCCTACACTCTGGTTCTTCTATGTGCAACAAACAAAGAAAAACAGAACTTATTGGGCCCCAGACCCTATTCTAAGCATTTTCCTTATATCATTGAGCCCTGGCAACAGCCCTAATGATGAGAAAACTGATATGCAAATATAATAAACGGCTGAGCAGTAACTGTAGCCATCAGTGGCACCAGAATCCATCCAATGGGCACATTTTAACTATTATACTATATGCCAACCAGGAAGATTATTGCAGAACAGTCCCATAAATAATTATGTCAATATGGTCTTATTTTATATATATATATAAAATATATTTTAAAGGATGAATTTTTAAAGACAAATAAATATCACTTCCAAAAATGTTTTTTTCCTCCCACAAAATGATTGTCAGCCAATATTTTGTAAGACCCTCATGCTTCAGGGAACAAGTTTCATGAAATTAAGACCTAAGGAATGGTGTGAAATTTCCTTTTCTGTTGTTCTTTCTTGGCTGTGTTCCCCTCTAAGTCCCTTGTAAATGTACCTGTCCCCCTGAGCTTCTTCTCTTTCAAGATTTAGTAAGGAGACACCTTCATACAACCCTCTAGTTACCAAAGTGCTTAACAAGCCTGCACTTCCCCTTCCTCTTGCCCCCACTTGAATGCTTATTCTTTTTTTTAATTTTAATTTTACTTTTATATTCCCCATACAATTGCAACCCCCTTATTTTGACCCCAATCCCTCCTTTCCCCGACCCCCATCTCCCATAGAGTGTCTCTGGTTCATAGTTGTTTGTTGATTTTGATTTTCACTTTCTTATAGTTATTCATTTTCCTGGTCTCTTATTTAAGTTTTCTAGATCCCTGCTATGAGTGAGACCATCCGGTATTTTTCTTTTTCTTTCTGGCTTATTTCGCTGAGCATGATCCCTTCTAGCGCCATCCATGTTGCTGCAAATTCCATGTGTTTATCTTTTTTGAATGCTGAGTAATATTTCATGGTGTGTATGTACCACATCCTCTTGATCCAGTCATCTATTTTTGGGCATTTGGGCTGTTTCCAAAGCTTAGCTATTGTAAACAGTGCTGCTATAAACATAGGGGTGCAGGTGCTCTTTGGAATTGATGTTTCTGTGTCCTTTGGGTAAATACCTAGGAGTGGAATTGCTGGATCCTATGGAAGCTCTATGTTTAGTAGGTCAAGAAATCTCCACACAGCTCTCCATAGTGGTTGGACCAGTTTGCACTCCCACCAACAGTGCAGGAGAGTTCCTTTTTCTCCACATCCTCACCAACATTTGTTGTTGCTAGTTTTTTTAATATGTGCCATTCTCACTGGTGTGCGATGGTATCTCATGGTAGTTTTGATTTGCATTTCCCTGATTACAAGTGATGTTGAACATTTTTTCATATGCCTGTTGGCCATTTGCATTTCCTCTTCAGAGAAGTTTCTTTTTAGCTCTTCTGCCCATTTTTTGACTGGATTATTTTCTTTGTTTTTGTTGAGTTTCATCAGCTCTTTGTAGATTTTTGTGATCAGTCCTTTATCATTAGCGTTGTGTGCAAAATGTTGAATGCTTATTCTTTGAGCTACATTTCTTAATTTATTTCTAATCATGATATAAATGGCACTTAAATACCGTTAATGAACACTTTACTTTTTGAAGGAAAAACTTATTAACCATTTTATATCACTTAAAAAAAAATCAAATGAAATCCTAATGTCCCAACAATTTGACACTTTTTTTACTAAGGTTCACGCCTATTCAAATGTATGTTACCACGCCCAGTCCACCGGAGATTTTGCATCGTTCTTTGATGTTCTTGAAGTAATATTTCTAGTCCACTTCTCCTATGTAATTTTATCTGAATGTAAACCAATTTTTGTACTTAAAAATCTTTGATTAGTTAATTATACTCAGTAAAAATATGTTTATAAATTTCTACTGATTTATTTCCTGGATTAATAAAGCTTTAATCATTAAATAGTCTATCATTTAAATTGTTCACTATATCATTAGTTATATTTTCAATATAACATAATTTTGTAATTTAAAAAAAAATTTTTTTAAAGATTTTATTTATTTATACAAGCACTGGGTACAGTCAGAAGCACGGGAGGGTGAGAGAATTCACCAGAGTCAGAGGGGAGAACAGAGCAGACAGAATGACAAAGTACACTGCTGAGGGGAGCAGTGGGTGGTAGGAGAGGTCTGCGCGCCATGTGGGACCCTCGCCGGTGGCTGGGGATTGAACCTGCGCTGCAGAGGCTACAGGCAGCTTCACAGCCCAGGGCTCAACCGCTGAGCCACCCGTGCCAAGGTTTTAAAATTTGGGGATGGGATATTTAGATTTTAGATTAATTTTAGATTTTAGATTAATTTTAGATTAATACAGGCATTTAATACTGTTCCAGTATTGAGTCTTCTCATTGACGAACTCAGTATGTCTCCATTTATTCAAGTCTCTTTCATGTCCCACAATGAAGTTTTACAGTTTTCTTTTTATGGGTTTCACATATTTCTTTTTGAATTTAAGATAACATACATTTGACCGATATAAAGATACATATTTTTCATTCTCTTCCCTCTTTTTCTCTTGTCATTCCAAATAGATTGGGAATGAATTACCCCACAATCTTGTAAGCGCCTAGGATAAAGCTAGGCTAGAATTGTCGCTAGAGAGAGAAATACTTGTTGAATGAATAAATGAATGAAAGGATTGATTCATAAACTAGAAATGCAACAGGAAGAATCTGGGGAAGATGCCAGGAAAAGTCTCAAAAGATTTGTCATTCCTTAAAAATGGATGATAAATTGTGACTTGGTATCACCATATGACAGATTTGACAAGCTGTTAGATTTTTTTAAATTAAAAAGACAAAATGACCTGGATATTACACAAATTCTTCCAATGTGGATTCACTTAGAGTTCCAGAGGAGATAAATATATACTTCTGATTTCTTCACACTTTGGGGGGGAAAAAAAAAAAAACCAAAGTTTTTCTACCTGTGAAATTTTCTAAAACACTTTGAGAATCAAGGATAATTAAAAACTTCTTTTATAAAGGATGCCTGCTACCTAAAAGCCACAGATTTTTTTTTTTTGAGGCAGAAAGCAAGAATTTTTATTAATCAACTGTGATTGCTTCTAGCTCTCATTTTGAAAAGGGGTTTTCATTTCCAATTCAGTGATATGGTCAGCAGTATCAACAGCAATAACTATGCCTATACAGGGACCACTGAGCCCAGTGACGGCGCTGGAGAAAGATGTGTACCGTCCAGGTGGCTCTGGTAACAGTTTTGGGGTGGCAGGAGGGGTGTGGTCTGGGCTTCTTATTTGTCTCTGCTCTGCTGATTCTCTGCATCTATGCTGCTGGTCCTGCACAGATACACAATTTCTTGTAATTTTCTGATTTCAATTCTTTTTTTTAATAATAAATTTTATTTTTATATTCCCTATACAATTGCAACCCCCTTATTTTGACCCCAATCCCTCCTCTCCCGCCCTCTACCCCCCATAGAGTGTCTCTGGTTCATAGTTTTTTGTTGATTTTGATTTTCACTTTCTTATAGTTATTCATTTTCCTGGTCCATTATTTAAGTTTTCTAGATTCCTGCTATGAGTGAGACCATCCGGTATTTTTCTTTTTCTTTCTGGCTTATTTCGCCGAGCATGATCCCTTCCAGCGCCATCCATGTTGCTGCAAATTGCGTGTGTTTATCTTTTTTGAATGCTGAGTAATATTCCATGGTGTATATGTACCACATCTTCTTGATCCAGTCATCTATTTTTGGGCATTTGGGTTGTTTCCAAAG